ATGCAGATAGAACACTGTATACATAATAAATAAACCTTTAAAAAAAACCCACTGAACTCCGTCTCCAATACTCTTTAAGAACACATATAAGCTGGATGTCCTATAAATGGTCTTGAACAGTAACTGCAGCATTTGGAGTGTGAAGGGGTATCATGCAGCCATGTATAATACTTCACAGGGAGGTGGAAAGCACCCAAAAAGACTGCTTCCCAGCTCCAGCTTTTGGTAATGCATATGCATAAACCAACTGGATTTCACCCTCCCCTCTGGGTGGTACTTTTCCATGGGGGAGTCTTTGTAGCTTTCTGCATGTCGAGACAGACAAAAATGCCACCCAAGCTGTCCATCAAGCTAGTCTCTTAACCATTCTTTTCTCTCACTAATGGCCCTGGACTGTGGGCAAATACAGTCTGATCCCAGTGTTCCCAGGTTATGCAGATCACATTTCTTCCTTCAGTCGTCAGCATTGCAGGGGCAGCTGGTAATGTACCCAGAACTTAGTACAGTAGCATGACTATTAGTGCTAGCATCCCACAGCACCTATGTGTGCCCTCGCTTGTTTCAGATGTAGACACTAGTTTTTATTGTGATCTGATTTTTAAAGATATCTTCAAATATAGTGTAACAATGACCCTGTAGAAATCCTCTTTGGAACAGGCAAGATGGCTAATGGGTAAAAGCACTTGTCAACCTGAGTTCAATGCTGTATCCCACAGTGGAAGGAGAGAACTAATTAATTCCTTTAAGCTGCCCTTTGTCTTCCATACAGGGATGTGGCAGGTGTGCGCCCAGCCCCACCCCTACACACACATATAAACCTTGAATGCAAAATAAATTACAACAAAAAAATTTCTTCTACCATTCATCTCTTTTTGGCCCCCACATCAAAAACAATGCCTAACACCCAAAATAGGCATTCAATAAATGCTTCTTGAAATTAACATTAAAAGATTTTAATTACTTTTAATTATGTGCATATATGTGTGTGGTTGTATGTGTGTGCAGAGGCCAGAGGGGTTGAATCCCTGGAGCTGAAGTTACAGGTGGTTATATGGATACAGGGACTTGAATCTGGTGTCAGATGACTTTAATCCCAGCACTTGGGAGGCAGAGGCAGATGAATCTCTGTGAGTTTAAGGTCTGCCTGGTCTACAGAGTGAGTTCTAGGAGAAGCAGGGCTATGTAGAGATCCTGTCTCAAAACAAAAACAAAAACAAAACAACAGTCTGGATCCTCTGGAAGAGTATGTGCACTTAACTGGTGAGCCTTTCCAGAGCAGAAAAATAAAGCCAGGAGGAGGGGCAGAGAGGACTAGAGGATAAGAAGGGGCTGCAGATCTGTAAGCTCTGGAGAGAACCTCACACAACCATGAAGATAGTACTCACCACTGAGCTGTGCCCTTCAAAACAAGACAACAGTGGATTGGGAAGTGCATTTCACCACATTAACTCAAACCAAACTTGGCTTGAGAAAGTCTTCATTCTCAGGTGTTCCAATAGATGGAGAAAACTCAACCTAACTCAACACTAAGCTAACTTGGTTATTTGCTTTATAAGGAATAATGGTCTCAGTTAATCCCATTAGCCAAGCTTCAGTCAAACCAGGTTCAAAGTAAAGCAAATGCCAAGTTCTAGTCAATAAGCTATCTCTCTCTGTACCTCACTCCCCCTTTCCGTATTGTTATCCAGCCATGTGGCAGGCAGTCCTAGAGTATCATTGAACCTGCCCTGTTCTAGTGGCCACCTGATTCAAGAACCACTCTGGGCTCATACAATGCCATTAAATGTAATTTGTATAAGGCTTGTTTTTCTTTCTTTCCTTATTATTAGCATACATGTGAGTGGAAGCTCTAGTGTGCACCACAGCAGAGTGTGGAGGTCAGAAAACAACTTCCTTGTGAATGGTGTCATTTGGCATTGGCTCAGCTGCAGAGTTTAGTGGATTAGCTAACATGGAAAAGTAATCAGGGCCTTTTACTAGAAATGGAGGGTATTAATATCACTGATAGAACTGAACTGGGAAGTGAAAGACCTAGATAGGAGAATTAACTGTTCAAGACGGCTGTACCCTCAACTATCCAAAAAACAAAGAAACAAACAAAACCTGGGAAGGGGGATGCTGGAGAGGAGAATGCTGGAGAGATGGTTCACAGCTTAAGAGTTTGTACTGCTCTTCCAGAGGACTCTCTCAGTCCTCAGCATTCATGCTGGGTGGTTCAAAACTGCCTGAAACCCCAGCTCTAGGGAGTCTGACACCCTCCTCAAGACCCTGTGGGCACCTGCCCTCTGGTGCACATACCTACACACATACACATAATATTTAAAAATAAATAAAATACATTTTGGGTTTTTTGTTGTTGTTGTTGTTGCTGTTTCTTTGTTTGTTTTTTAAGGGCTAGGATGGAGGGTGGGCAAGTCTGCCCAGTGGGTCAGTTGCTTGTCTTGGGAGCATGAAGACCTGACTTCCAGCCAGGCTGGGTGGCTGGTACTTGAGTTCCTAGTGCTGGGGGTGGAGACCCACATGCAGGTCCCTGGGCTCAGAGTAGCAGGTCTAGCCTTACTTGACACATCCAGGCCAGTGAAACATGCTGTCTTCATAACTATATTGATGACATCTGACGAACAACATCCACAGGAGACCTCTGGCCTCCACATTCAAGTGCCTCCCCACGTGTGTGTGCCCCCCCCCACGAATGCATGTATTCAAAATAATTACAATCATGAGAAACCTCTCTCTTAAAGAAATGAAGATATTTATAATTAGATCGACAATAATACCAATAGAAATATAGTGGATCAACATTCTCTTTAACATTTAAAGAAAAGATACTTTTCTGAGACTAATCCAGGAGTAAAAAGAATAAGAATAATTACCAATAAAATTGTATCAGTTAGGTTACTTTCAAAGGAAAGTACAGCCTTCAATCTGGTTTAATATAATCTGTTAACTCATACAGAAAGCCCAGTGGTAGCTGAGGTTAAAGAAAGGCTCAGTCTAGGGGTTTCTTCTGACTCATTTCTCTGTACCTCCCTGGGCTCTGTCTTTCTGAGAGGACTGGGTTTATACCTGGACTGATAACAGCTCCTAACAACAAAAGCAAGAAGAAAACAGACCGAGTGTCTCTTCCAATGCACTGGCCTTCACGACTCATTTTTCCTCCTTTCTTTTTCCTTCTTTTCCTTCCATCTTCTCTCCTTTTCTTTTTTGAGGATGCGTACTCATGTATGGAGTGGGTTCACGTGTGTATGTATGCACACATATGTGAAAAGATCAGAATCCAGCCTAAAGTGTAGATCCCCTGGCACATCCCATGTATCTATTCACGGTGTGTTGCAGTGGGGGTCAGAAAAAAACGTGGGGGGATCTGGTCTTTCTGTCCACTGAGTGAGACCCAGAGGCTGGACCCAGGTGGACGGGTTTTACAGTTTTACCATCTTACCATCTCACAATGCTCCCCCACCCCTTCCTTCCTTCCCTTCTTCCTTCCTTCCTTCCTTCCTTCCTTCCTTCCTTCCTTCCTTCCTTCCTTTTTTTGAGAATGAATCTCTTACTGGCCTGGAACTTGTGATGAAAGGTGAGGCTGGCTGGCCAGGAAGCCCCAAACTTTCACCTTCTGAGCATGGGGAGTTCAACACACAACTTTTTTTCCCCATAAGACTGAACTCAGGTCTTGGGCTTGGAACTTCCCAACTAAGCTTCCTCCCCAGGCCCCGGTTTCTCATTTCTCAATGGCTTGTCATAGTAATGTCATGTTCTGGTGGGCTAAGGCCAAATGTCTGCAGTAATCTCTGTCATGGGATTTATCAAGACTGAATTAATCTAAATTCATCCCAAGATTTAGGTTAAGGCCCATCCTTGAGTTACTGAAATTGAGTACTTCCCCAGTACACAGGGCTACTAAAAATAGCTCAAAGAGTGGAAAGCCTATTTGGTATGAATCAAATCTTTTTATAATATTCAAATATATTTCATTATTAAAATGTCTTATTTGCATCTATGTGAAATCAGCAAACTATAACCTGTGTCACTTCTCCCTGTCATGACCATTCCTCCATTTAGTGATTACCTGTTGTGTTCTCTAATGGTAACTTCACCTAGTGTTTAATCTCCACACAGAAAACAAAAAGGTAAGATGGTGAGCAATGCAAGATCTGACACATCCTCTGCTAAACTGTGATGGTTACAGATAGGACAGTCCTCCAGTCCTCCTGGCTTATTCCAAGTCCCCAAATGACTAGAAGCTGAAAGGAGGAGGAACTGTCACAAAGCCAGCACCAACAACCACAGTGTAGGCCTCTGTGAGGTGCATGGACATACATCCAGGCAAAACACCCTCATACATGGATAAAATAAAAATTTCTATAAAAATAAAATTGAAGAGAATAATTATATCTCTAAAACACAGCTTTCTGAAGCACTATATTTAGGGTCAAAATCCTCTTCCTGTTTCAATAGACTTTTAAAGAGCATCAGTTTTTGGCAGCAAATAATACAATAATTTGTGTTCAAAATGACAGCTCTGTGTCACCCTGACTCAGGAGCACTCCATGACCCACCCACAGGCTATGTGTTGCTCACCCAGCTGGCAATCCAAACCAACGTCTACCTCAGAAGACCAGGTTCCAGAGTTGAGTCCATGATACTCAAATACACCCAATAGGAATTTTTTGATGGTTTTAAAATAGACTTAGCTTGCCGATTATTTACCTATTCAAATAACACAGGAAACATATTGTAAGAAAACATTCCAAGGGATTCAAGGTCATTTTCATTTTGATGACTTTTCTGAATTGATTCTTATGCTAAATGGCTGCTTACAATTGATTCATGTTATCCACTTATAAGGAGGCAAAAGAGGGGATAGGACCACAGAAATCACAAGCCTGGAAAGAACCTTGGCAATTTAATAGCACAGGTTTGCTTTTATGGCTAAGAAAACAGACCCAGATAGATGCAGGAAATTGATCAGTCATAAAGACCAATACAGATGATGGATTAAAAATTAATTTCATGTGCTTGCTTCATCACACTGGAAAGATACAGAGATTAGCATGGCCCCTGTGCAGGGAAGACACACACATTTGTGAAGTGTTCCAGATTTTTCATCCATTTGGCACTTCACCTTGAAGCACTGCCTTCTACGGGAATTTAAAGATACCAAGTAACATAACAGTAATGAGATTTATTTTTTAAAAATTCCTGTTGTGTGTGTAATGTGATTATGGGTTTTTAGGCCATGACAGATATGTGGAGACTGGGAGACAACTCTGTGGAATCTACTTTCGCCCATCTTTATATAGTGATCAAGGTCAGGTTACCAGCCTTACACACCAGGCATTTCCACCAGGCATCTCACTGATGCTCAAGTAAGATTAGTTGATACATTATACCAATAAACTATTGTCTTTCTCTCAGATTGTAAACATTTTGTCATCTAAGGATGGAGGAGAGCAGGACAATATGAATAATAAATTCTATTTGCAAATGAAAAAAACTAAATTTTGTTATTTTATGATTATGACTGCCCCCCACGAGACATGAACAAGATGTAAAGCCTGTTCTTTAAATGTCATGGGAAAATACAGGCAACACCTGAGATGTCTACCACTAGGAAAGCAATACCAAGAATACACTCTTGGCATTTGAAGAGTGACTGCTCTGAGGCACTAACAATGCCACACCTATCAACATGGCTGAACCTAACACAACATAACATTAACTGGGGAAAAAAAGTTACAGAAATATAGTCAAAATATTACTGAAAATATTTAAACTGCTAAAAATAAATATTCCCTTAGCACATACATCCATGTGTAAAGGAGTATCATTTATACTTACATCAATTGATAATTAAAACATAAAACATGGGGTTAGAGAGATGGTTCAGCAGTTGAGAGCAATGGTAGCTTTTCCAGAGGACCAGGGCATTCAAATCCCAGCACCCATATGGCAGCTCACAAATGTCTATAATGCTAGACTCTGGATCCAACACACTCTTCTGGCCTCCATGGGCATTGCACACAAAAGATGTACAGACACTCATGCAGGGAAAACACCATACACATAAAACTAAATATTTAAAAAAGCATAAAACATGCATGAAAATGGTCAGTAACAAATTAAGGATATCTATTACTTCTGGAAAGAAATAAAAAGAGGATAAAGTTGAGGATTCACATGCGATTAATTCTATTTTAACTAATTTTTAAAAAAAGATTTATCTTTATTCTAAATTGTGTGTGTGCTCACGGGTGTGCACACATACCTACAATGAGTGCAGGTGCTTATGGAGACCAGAGGTGTTGGGTTCCCCTGGAGCTGGAGTTAGACCTTGTGAACAACCTGACATGGGTGCTAGGAATTGAATTCACATCCTCTAAAAGAGCAGTATGTGCCCTTAACTCCTGAACCATCGTTCCAGCCTATAATTTTATTATTCTTTTTAAATTAAGCAATCAGTAAGTGAATATGGATGTTTTATATTAGCAGTACTTTCATATACACATAAGATTGTAAACCTTTTTATTTATGTGTACATGTGTGTTGCCTATACTTGCAAAGGCTAGAAGAGGACGTCAGGAGCTGCAGTTACAGACAGTTGTGAGCTGCCCAATGAGAGTGCTGGGAACTGCAGTGGGGTCCTCTGGAAGAGCAGCAAATGCTCTTAACCCCTAAGCCATCCCTCCGACCCTTTCATAAACAACCAGCCTAATCAAGAGAACAAACTCCAGGTTTGTGGGGACATCTGTCTCAAAAAACAATACCAAAAGTGTCAGAGGAAAACACCTGAGTCTCCCACATACATACAAACAAACAAACAAAAAAGGTAAAAGAAAATTTTAAAAAAAGCAAATATTAGTTATTTGGAAAACACACATGAAGGCAGGTATCCATTCACAACACATAGGAAAGCCATGCCAATTCTTAGTAATGAAAGGGACTTAAAAAGATCTAGCCACTAAGCTGGGCGGTGGTGGCGGCGGCACACACACCTTTAATCCCAGCACCCAGGAGGCAGAAGCAGGCGGATGCCTGTGAGTTTGAAGCCAGCCTGGTCTACAAAAGCTACACAGAGAAACCCTGTCTTGAAAAACAAACAAACAAACAAATATCTAGCCACAGACAAAACAGACCCCGCCCACCCTTGTTCAAAATAGAAGGTCTGTGTGCCTCATAGTGTTACCATATTAGGAAGACACTGTGGGTGGGTGGGGGGCTGGATCACATAAAAGAATCCTGATTTTCCATTCAGTGAGAGAGGGAAGGAGACCCCATGGGATAAGAGAACAGGGCTCAGGTAGCATCTCTGAGAAGAAAGTATTTTCTGGGGATTCCCATAGGACACAGGGCTTCAAGGCACAAGGGAGGTGTGCTGTGGAATGCGTACTCATTCACAGTGCTGCTTACAATACAATTCTCAGAAACCAGTGGGGCAGCTGAAACCAGCTGGGAAGATGAGTCTCCCCAGAACTGGGGAGGAAACAAGGAGCCTAGCCCAACCTATGGCAGACAGACTTCACAGGGCAAAGATGCTTGGGTGAACAGGAGCGGGCCCCCTTTCATCCTGCAAGTTAGAAATAATTTAACACAGAGAAGGACTACTTAAATACACTAGCCACTTCCCCCAGGAGAAGGCTGCCCTGGGTTAGCCACTGAGTGTGGGAAAGACTGCTTTTGGGCTGGCCTTGGGAACTCTCTCTGGGGGGCAGCAGGCCAGCCCTCCTGACCTGCAGCATGAGCTGTGACTTGATGCATTCTGTCCTGTGGGTGCTACAGCTCAGAACTACACTCAGTCCTCTCCGTTCTAAAGACTCCTGGAACACTTGTGGAGTGGAGGGTGAAGGGCTGCTGCCTGATTCGTGAAAATGAGGAGTGCACAAAGAAGAGAGATCTTCAGCCTGATTTCCCCAGCCTCCCCTCTGAAGTTTAGGGGCTTGCTGTTGTTGCATGTTGTTTTGTTTAGGATCTGATCTTAAAACAGTGGGGGCAGGCACCAGAACCATGGTGGGAAAGTACATTATTCGGATCACTAAAACCAGAGCAAAAAAAAGCACAATTTCAAGGCTAGGTTTACTCAAAGTACTGAACATTTTCTACATGGACTGTCCAATCCATTTGATACACTCTAAGAGGCAAAAATTTAACATCATGTTTTTATAATTAAAAGGGGAAAAATTTACTTCGGTTTAAAAGCACACTTGAAAAACAGCTGGAACCCCAGGCTGTCTGCATAAAGTTATGTGGTTTGTCTATTTACATTTCTGAGCTATTCCAGGAATGAAGGGAAGGTCCCAAACATTGAAATCTATTTGTAGAAATCTACATATAATTTTCTTTTATTTTACATAAATGGGTACCCTCAGAGGCCAGTCAGATCCCCTGAAATTGTAGTTACAGATGGTTGTGAGCCACCATATGAGTGCTGGGAATCAAACAAGGTCCTCTGGAACAGCAGCAAGTGCTCTTTCCTGATGAACCATCTCTCCAGCCCCCTTGTTTTTGGTTTATGAGCCAAGAGTCCCACTATATAGCCTAGGCTGGCTTCAAACTCAGACTCTTCCAACTCAGCCTCCCAAGTGGTGGGGCTACAAAGGTTTTTATTATTAGCAACTCGGGTATATAATCAGGCAGTTTATGCCAGTTTCGAAACCCTCTGCCAGCCGCATCTGGCCTATACTTGTATATACTTCTGAACAGGGAGAATAATAAAAGTTTAGAGCTGGCCTCTAGGTGATTACTTAAAATCTCTAATTAGTGAAATAGGTAAAAGGGAGTCACAGACTAAAGCTTTAAAATATTTTTTACAAAGAAAAAAAACCTGAAGAAAACATAAAAGTAGAATTATAATCAAAAATGCTACTTATATCTTAAAGGAAGGATTAAGGCATTATTCGTTTATAAATAAACATTCTGTGAGTTTTAAATCTATTGTCATCATATAGTCAGGGATACTTACTTTTGTATCCTTATATTAAAATTTACTATTTGCCTTCAAGCTTGAAAATTTTTAAGTCTAATATTTAAGAAGCAAATATTTAGATAAGACTTTAGATGACCACTGGCAGCCATGTATATTTATATTATCTCAGTTACATCCATCTGGGAAGTAGATTTTTTTAAGGTGAATTATTAGTAAGTGGTCAGAAAAACACAAGTTGTCATTTACAAAGACACCTAGCACACTAAGAATGCTGCAGAGCTTCTCATTTCTTCAGTTCTTCTTCTCTATGAACAGGAAGTGGCAAACTAAGTCTCATTTATGGTAGAAATTAACCATGATACAAATCACAACTTCCTGCTTGAAAAAGCTACACAGCTTTGCACTATTTTATAATTTTCTACTTATACCAATTAAATGTGGCCCTCTGCATAAGATACCTGTACCCAGTAATTAGAGCTGATTGGACTAACAAGAGATGGCAAATCAGGAGTTAGTTCTACAAACTGGGGAAGAATTCTCAATTTTTCTGTAGACCACAAACATACTTGGCAGAATGAAAATACTACAGTTAAGCACAGATTAATTTGTTTGGTAGTGCTGGAGAGAGAAACTCAAGCCATGGAAATGCTAAGCAAGTACTGTGTCACTGAACTATGTCCTGAACCTGTATGTGTACTTTTATTTTAATTTATGTGTATGTGCTTGTGTCTTAGCATTGCTGTGACAAGCCTGACCACCCTGGGGTGTTCTGGAGGAATGTGGAAGACTAGAAAAGCAATTAAATGCTGTAAGTAGGGTTAAGAGACCATCCCAGCTGGGCTTTCTGACAGGAAAGTTGAGAGCTATGTAGGTTATGGAGACCTGGCTCAAGAGGTTTCAGAGAACGATGTTAATAACCAGGCTAGAGACAATTTTTGTGATACTCTGGCAAAGAATGTGGCTGCTTTCTGCCCCTGCCCTAAGAACCTGCCTAAGGCTCAAGTGAACTAACTTCACTGGCAAAGATGATTTCAAGACAGCGTGACAGTGACTCTGTCATGTGGTTATTAGTGATCACTCTTATGTAGATCTACAATGAAAAAGAATAAGCAGGGCAAAAAGAAATAAAATAATGTACACTTTGAGGAGAAAAAGTACATCTGGAAATTTAATGTTGGAACCA